CCAGCAATGTAGATCTGGTCCCTTTAGAAGATTTCTGCTTCTTGTTCCATCTTTTCCTTTTAGGCTTAAGAATGGAAGTTAAGGGGTCCAGCAATGTAGATCTGGGTATCCCTAAAGAAGAGTTCTCCTTGTTGCCTCTTTTCTCTGTAGGATTAAGAGGTGTGAGATACTGTCCTCCGGTTTTTATGTTTTCTTCCTTAGCTGTTGAGTTTGGCCAAGGAGTACACACCACAGTGTCTAGATAGTGGGCCCCCACCATATCTGCTTGAGTTTCAGCCTGAGGTAATGGTTTTTCCTCGCATATACTCGCAGTTTCCTCAACGCTAATGTTTTCCGCTTGCCGTTTTATCCTATCTTTTTCTGCCCTCTCAAGTAGCAGTTTTCGATGAATTTCTTCACTCTTACGCCGCATCCTTTCAGCAAATCCTTCCTGAATACACTCTATCTCTCTTTCTAATTCTTCTCTTATAAGCTGTATGTCTCTTTCATACTCTACTTTCCTTAGCTGTTCCTCTCTTTCATACTCTTCTTTCCTAAGCTGTTCCTGCCTATTATATTCTTCTCTCTCCAACTGGCGCTTTTTCTCTGCAGCATTACGGGCAACCATATAATCAAAAGTATCCATCTGGCATTTAATATATGTTTCTAACTGTGCCCCTACTCTACCCTCAGCTATCCCGAACTTTCTTACATCTTTTTGGTACTCGGTACGTAAGTCCATTCTATCTATCAGGTCTATCCAGAGATAAATATACTTCCTCGAGTCAGGATAAGAAGGATTAAAAGGTCAGAGCAAGGTACAGTGAACTGGGCACCAGCGTAGACAAGGACAGCCGCACAAAGATGTATATGATGCAAAGCAGCCTACCAGGATAACAGCCTATTGAATACTATAGCAGCAAAAGGATAAGCCTATAAATGATCAAAGCGATGTTACACTCAGTCACTAATTATTAATCTCAATGATATGATGTCAGCATGTAATATGTTCTACAATCTATATCAAATGAAATATGCAAGCAAAAAAAATCATCAATTCATCAACTCTAACTAAGCACTTAGATTAAACAATCAATGTTCATGAAATGTTCAATGATAGACAGTTAACTCATATGATTTCATCAATTAAATACTTTTACAGTTATTATAATTCTAATCTTCCCAGTTACCAATTACTAAGTATGATTTTAGTCTAAGAACTGGACGAAGAGTTAAAATGAAATCTATGAAATTAAACTTTTTATTCGTTAGTCTAGGGTCTGCCGGGTTTGATCGCTGGCGGGACGCCACTTGTGTCAGGTTTTAATTCTAGAGAGCGACACAATTGTTACGTGATGTTATAAACCCCGAGACGAGATACCCCAATTGTCGGTGGGTTCTATGCCGGGACGAGATCCCCAATTGTCGCTTGATGTTATAAAATCCCGGACGAGATCCGCAATTGTCGCGCGCCCACGTGGGTAAATACACTGAAATAGTGAGGGTGTGGGTTTGACCCTTAACAATGCCCACCCACGTGAGAAACTGGACTATTATCTAAGCTATGTTGATCCTAGACAGTCCTGGATAGCCAAGAAAACAGCGAGTGGCTCGTTCCATGAAATGAAAGTTGCTGTACTTGTATCCACAGGAGAAGGAGAAGGGATAGATAGATATCTGGATAAACCCACTGTGATATAATCCAGGTGCTCAGTTAACCCCTGCGACTGGTCTCCTCTCCTGGCATTGCTAAAAAGCCCCCATCAAGTGATTTAAATATTTGTTAGCTGAAGTAAACTAATATGCACAAAGACACTTGAACCTAAGTACACAATTTACTCAACTATGTTTAAATATCAAAAAGATTTATTTAATAAATCTGACTAAAATAAAATGAACTTGTTTAGGCTAGTAGAGTTGGGATGATGTTATAGATGACATTAAAGTTGTACATAACTTAGCTCATCAGGACAGTTCTCGGCTTGAGACCCTGCCTATCTTTTCCAGTTTGTCGTCCTCACTGCTTTCTGCAGGTCGTTACACTCGACGGTCGGCAAATAATGGATGCCTACTAGTCCCTGCCCAATGTGGGAACTGGAGAATGAAGAAACAAGCGCATATTTGTAGTATCTGCTCTAGATGTACACTAAGCATGTATATTATACTAACATCAAGCATGTTTATTTAAATAAAACATTTCATCTCTCCCTCATGCTCACATTCACTCCTGTCCAATTTGGAAGGGCTTATGTCTCACATTCCAACTGTTACATCTTCTGCCTTCCTCTACACGTCCTGTAATGATAGTCAAGTCTTCTACGTCAGGTGCCAGCTCTCGTACAGACTCAAATTGACAATCAGTCAGACAGAACCAGTTCTGGAATCTATGCTTGGAACAATCGACGCGCCCAGAATGCTAACAATAGTTCTGGGGCGAATCAAATAACAAATCTCGTGGATTTACTCTCCGGGATCAATCTCCGCATTAGCCTCCCGAGAGTTAAACACATTTCAGTGTGTAAGCTGTATGTAATACAGATTCACATTAACCACACGTGAAAAGATTGCCAAAGTTATCTTCACGCTTGTGGTTTAAAAAACATGATAGTTCATTAAATTTCAATGGCAACAACAACATTTAGGTTTTACAACATTGAAACACATGTGCACGAAAAACATTCATGACACTATCAAATAGGAAATAAAGCAATGTGACAGTGCCCTACGAGAATGAAGAAATGTCCGCCTAGGAGTACTACAAAGTGATGAAGACACACTTGAGCAAAAAAGACAGTTAGATCTCTATCATAAAATATAGATTGGAACCTAATTTCAATCTTACCTGGAAAAATGAAACCACGATGCCAAAAGTTCTGTCTCAAGCTTAGGTTAAGCCCAACAGATGGCATGTGCTAGACAGGATCTCATTTACCAGACCTATAGTTCACCCCTTTATAACTTTTATCAAGCTCCTCCTACATTACGCCTAAAATCATTCTCATCCAAGGATGTCATAGCTCCTCCCCTGTGGGTGTATATTCCCTGTCAGTCAGTGACTGTACAACAAGTTTGAATTCCCACGCTAGGATCTTCTGGTTCAATTAAGCTGGCCAGAGCAAATAAGACAAGTCACACCTCCAGGCTACTTCACCTGTCATCACAATAAAATCCGACTTTGTCAATTCTTCTGCCAACACTTTCCGCTCACTGTGTCAATAGTGACCGTCGGACCTGCCGTCGAGTTAGGTAACCCCAGGGGGAGATAATGGCAATTAGCCCTTGTTATCTGTTCCTGAAGGTCTGGCAGGGGGAATAACTATTTGACACCAACAAATGGTGTGCAAATCTCCAGTCAGTAAGTCTGCTTGGTCAGTCTTATCTCTGTACCTTAACACTTAACAACTGGGAAAAAGTTGTAGTGTTTGATATGACCAACGGTCCAGGAGAATGAAAGGTGTGATGTGGTCGTCATTAAGGATGTATCCAAATCCCTATTTTCCTGTATACTTTTAAAATACAAAGAAATAAAAGTAGGTTGAGGAAAGACATTCTGGAGTCACCGAGCGTATTGTCACAGTCTGCCTCTTCTCCTCTACTCGTTTATAAAACAGTAACTCCAATATGTACCTGTACAAGTTCTGTATCCATGTCTGCCTTGGTCTGCCTCTTCTCCTCTTCTCCTCTACTCGTTTATTAAACAATAACTCCAATACGTGCCTGAACAAGTTCTGTATCCATGTCTGTCTTGGTCTGCCTCTTCTCCTCTACTCGTTTATAAAACAGTAACTCCAATATGTACCTGTACAAGTTCTGTATCCATGTCTGCCTTGGTCTGCCTCTTCTCCTCTTCTCCTCTACTCGTTTATTAAACAGTAACTCCAATACGTGCCTGAACAAGTTCTGTATCCATGTCTGTATTGGCCTGCCTCTTCTCCTCTACTCGTTTATAAAACAATAACTCCAATACGTGCCTACGATTTTAACTTTTTGAATAGTTTTGAGCGAAAATGAGAAATCTTGGATTCAGAAAAGTTATGTGCCTATAATGCACCCACTGCTGTTTTTAAGAGTATAATGAAGTGGTGCACTAGTTTCCTCCCTAGTATGACTCTCGTACAACTGTCAGAAATCCGTTTCAAAAGTCGTGTCCAACACTAAAAATCTATAACTGAGTAACCGCTCAGTTGGTGATGATGACGTTCAAACCCACCAGGACATCACACCGAGCGATAAACACCCGGTGACACAAAATGCCACCATTCGGACGAGGTACACCCGGGGATACGTGGCAGAAACCCCGTTCAATCCATAGTTAAGTTAAATTAGGGTCCCCGGCAACAGCTAGGGTGGGCCTTTAAGATATAGAAATGCGTCCCACATTGGGACGGACGCTTATAAATATAAACCATTCAGTGTGAAGTGTTGAAATTTGGATACAACCTGTTAATAATCATGTCCTTGTAGGAAACAAATTGAAGTATAAACATCTAGTTTTTGCTTTGCTTCATTTGTGGATTCAGTGCACTTAGTTAGCATATTTAAAGCAATAGAGTGATATGAACTTTTCAAAAATCAAATTACGTATGTTTTAGATGTCGTCCGTTCGAAAAACGGCTTTTCACTCACAGTTCGTCAATCTCTTACATTTGCCTCCCATGAATTAGATGAACATAATTTTACACTGTATGCTGGGTAGGCTATCAAAATTATCACCCCGCATCGCTGCACATTTAAAATTATTTCCAAAACCATTTCCACATTTGTTGTTTAAATTAAACGATTTGTATCAATTNAAATCAAAGAAATTCGCCGCTTTAAGAAAACAACAACATCTGTGCAATTGTAAATATAAAATCACAAGGATGCACTCCCCAACAGTCCAGACGGACCCACAGCTGCCCTGATCTCCTCCCAAAAAAGCACAACAAGCGTAAAACGACTGATAACATCTCTTCTGTGTTGATTAAATACGAGAACAAATTTCTAATGATAATTGTTTAAATGCATCTTTAGTGGGCATCATGTCCGGCATACTGGAACGTATCAAACTCTGGGGCCTGGCTACAACGTATGGCTTGCTGGTTCTCCTGCACATCATCAGGCAATGTTATAGAAAAGGAGTAGGAAAAGTTTTTCATTGGAAACAATGGGAGCGACCAGCGATCCTGGATGATCCCAGTTTTGGGACACATGGATTCTTAACTCTTAAGGTTCGTGCACTTACAGTTCATTTTTTTAGAACATTTTATTTAATGTTACAATCGTACTTTAAATAAACTAATATAGGGGGCTACGTGGTCTCGAGGCATGGTGTCCGCCTTGAGTGCTAGAGGTTCCGGGTTCAATTCCTGGTAGGAGCTGGTATATTTTTTATGTGGACTTGGACTTCTAGTAATTCCCCCTGGTCTCTGGGTAGTGAGATAGGATGCCCACGTACATTGTTGCGCACGTAAAAAATCCCTTGGCAGTTGGAAATCGAAAAGAGTAGCCTAACGGCGCTGCCCGGACAAAATGTGGAATTTAAAATCTATCCAAAGTATTTCAGGATTATCGCCAATACCACAGAGCCTGTGCACTGTGCTGAGCTTCTTCGGACTCGACTTGGTACCCGTGTGCCATAATGTTAACCTGTTGTTGAAACCTCAAACCTTAGACCTCAAACCTCAAGTAAACTAATAGCAAAATCTTGTTCACTGTGACGTTAAATTATTATCACACACACATACACAGAGAGATGGGGAATGGAGAGCGTGAGAGCGTGAGAGCGTGAGAGAGAGAGAGAGAGAGAGAGAGAGAGAGAGAGAGAGGAGAGAGGAGAGAGAGAGGAGAGAGAGAGGAGAGAGAGAGGAGAGAGAGAGAGAGAGAGAGAGAGAGAGAGAGAGAGAGAGAGAGAGAACGGGATCGGTACCTGAAAAAATATAGAACCATACATTAAAAAAAAACTTAAAGATTGAGTAACTAAAGCATTAGAAAGAGTGCACTATCTTAGATTCGTCATTCTCTCATGTTTTTTTTTTTTTTTTTTTTTTTTTTTTTTTTTTGTTTGTTTGTTTAAATTTACACTTCATTTGCATAAGCGAATCAGGATTAACTCACAGATAAATCCATGACATCTATGAGCTTCGATTGCGCTTACCTGTTTTAACTGTTAAGACTTCCAACCCTCAAATTTGTTTAGGATTGTCATTGTCAACACAAATTTGCTTGCAGGATGTTCGAATTCACTATGTAGCAAGTGGACCAGAAGACAAGCCATTAATGCTGTTTGTACACGGATTTCCTGAGTTCTGGTACTCATGGAGACATCAGATACGGGAGTTTCAGAAAGACTACAGGTAAGGATATGACTCGTAGTTCACATAGTTTAAACATTTCTAACTTCATTCCCCTTACCTGCGAGCTTAATTATGTGTCCGCTCCTAAATAAGTACACAAGTACTCCGACATAAGTACTCCGACATGAGTACTCCTAAATAAGTACTCCTACATAAGTACACATACATAAATACTCCTAAATAGGTACTCCTACATACGTACTCCTATATATGAACCCCGCTCCTCGCCCCCCCTCCCCCCGGCAACCCCCCCCCCCCCACCCCACCACTAAAAAATAGTGCAGATTTATTTTCACAATGTGTCTACAAAGATGCCGGTACTCACCAAAAAGTGTCTATAAAGATGACGGTACTCACCAAAAAGTGTCTACAAAGATGCCGGTACTCACCAAAAAGTGTCTACAAAGATGCCGGTACACACCAAAAAAGTGTCTAAAAAGACAGAAAAAAAAGCCCTGTTTTACTATTACACAAGAACTCCAACATAATAATAACAGTGGGTTTTTTTTCTTTCTAATGAACCATCCTATACCAACGCCTACGGGGCAGTCCCCCATAGGCTACTGTGGCGAGCCCTTCGCATGTTTCACGTACCGACGCAGATCAGTCAAATGGTCGAGCAATACCTCTAGGTTCGCTGCGCTTCTCTACCTGACGTTTACCACGAGGTGGACTGAGTTGCTTGGGATGGGGGTGTACGATCTCACCCATACTGTTTGTCATGGCAATGCAGATCTTATTAGACGGGGCGGCCGGCTACGGACTGGGCCTTCAAATAGGGGATCACTGGTTGCCGCCACTGCGCGCATTTATGGATGACACGACTATTATAACGGGCAGCGAGGAGTCTGCCCGCACGATCCTGAATAGATTGGACGCGGTGGTCCAATGGAGCGGTATGCAGTTCAAACCGCAGAAGTCGAGGAGTCTGTCAATCCATAAGGGCAAGGTTTCGGCGACCAGTTTTTTACGGTGGCAAGGAACAAGATCCCTACGGTTCTGGAGGAACCGGTGAAGAGTCTCGGTCGCGTCTACGATTCGAAGTTATCTGACAGAGCGGAAGTCCGGCGAATACATGAGTCACTGGCTACAGGCCTGCTCGCGATCGAGCGATGCAGGCTGATCGGAAAATTCAAGGTATGGTGTCTCCAATTCATGTTGATTCCGAAGCTTCTATGGCCACTGCTAGTCTACGAGGTGACGATGACTGCAGTTGAAGCCATGGAAAAGAAAATCAATACAGCCTTAAGAAAGTGGATTGGAGCACCGCCTTGTCTGACCGACGTGGCTCTGTATTGCAAACAGGCTAAGCTGGTACTTCCGTTCAAGTCGATAACCGAAGAGTTTAAAGTCGGCAAAGTTAGGCTCGCCATGCTTTTGCGTGAGTCCTCAGACCCAAATGTCATCGCTGTCCAGCCCGCTCTAAAGACTGGTCAGAAGTGGAGAGTCCTCGATGCAATTGAATCTGCTCAGAACGCACTAAAATTGAAGGAGGTAATGGGTTACACACAAACCGACCGTCGAGGCCTAGGGCACGGGAAGGTCAATTGGTGGTCAAAGGCCTCAGCCAAAGAGCGCCGAGACATGGTGATACAAACGGTGAGGGACAACGAAAACGAGGTTCGGGTCCAGAAAGCAGCCCAACAGTCGCAGCAGGGCCATTGGGTCAGCCTGGAGAGCGCATTGCCGAGAATACTCACATGGGGTGAGATCTGGCGGATGACCCCGCTGCGACTGAGCTTTATCGTTCGTTCGGCGTACGATGTATTACCGTCCGGTGTTAACATGGTTAAATGGTCTGCGACCAACGATCCGACTTGCCCGTTGTGCAAATCAAAGCAAACTCTTGAGCACGTCCTGTCCGCGTGCAGGAAAGCTCTAGGTCAAGGCCGCTATACCTGGCGCCACAACAAGGTGCTAAAGGAGTTAGCAGCCGTTGTCGACCAGGCTAGAATGAGGGCTAACGCCAGAGCCAGTTCTAGTATCGCCCCCATTCGTTTCCTCAAGGCTGGGCAGGTTCCAATCGGTAAGGTCAACAAAAACGCATTCGCTCCATCTGTACTAGACTCTGCGAGGGACTGGTTACTGGCGGTTGATCTGCCAGGACATGAACGGTATCCCGAGTTGATCCGTAAAACCGGCCTGCGACCGGACATCGTTCTCCATTCTGCGCAAAAACGGCAACTCATCCTGATTGAGTTGACGGTCCCGTTTGAGTCGCGGATGGAGGAGAATCATTTGTATAAGCTCGAGAAATACAGTGATTTAGCAGCCGGTTTGAGGAGAAACGAGGCTTACACAGTGCGGGTATTTGCCGTCGAAGTGGGAGCGAGAGGCCTCGTTTCCACTTCGCTCTACAATGTGGTAAAAGAGTTAGGATTGCGCGGTAATGAACGGAAACGGGCACTCAAAAGACTTGGTGAGGTGGCTGAAAGGGCATCTAGCTGGTTGTGGACGCAGCGCAACAACGTAGGGGACGGGCCTCGGTGAGCTGGTCCGGGTATCTAGTGGAAAAGAGTTTCTTATCCCTTTGAAAAGTCCATCGTGTACGAATTGTCTGCCAGTGTCTCTCTGCCAACTGCTAATAAAAGTCCAAGATGTGTCCGGTAAACCAAAGTAAGCTTGTCGCTCGGTCGTCCAGGCATGCGGACTGTTCTAATTACGCTGCCGTGGCGGCTTCTTATCTCACAGTACCTCCTTCGAAACCACCAAGTCGTCTTGTCTCTGGCCGAAAGTATAACACCATCCGGTAATTCTGTGCGGCGGGGAAGCAGCCCTGAGCTTCATGAACTCAGGTGGGCCCACCTCCGAATACGTTTAGGAATCGTGGGCCGAAACGTGTGTCGAAAGAGGATAATTTCTACTGATGACTGTAGATCCCCGCTGTACTTGCTCCCTGTGAGTTTATTCTTATTGTACGTGGCTAGCCCACAAGACTACCAGGAAAGACTGGTGACTATCGGGAAAGACCTTTTGACACCTATGGAAAGACTGGCCCCCCGGTATCGCCGGGGGGATAAACTGACATCTGGAGACAGATGTCGACTGTGGACCGGGTTGATCACCCCTAACACAGTATAATACCTCCGATTGCGTTAAACCACAATGAAATATGCCCCCAGGGCCCTCCGAAAGGGGGGAGAGAATGAAGGGCCCAATCTGATTGATACCCTCGTTGACGACTTTGCTAGCCCCCGGACTGAGACACTCGCCCAACGTCCGGGCTGGCTCTGTACATGTGGGAAAAGCTTCACGGGGTTGCATGGTCTGAGAACGCATGCCGGAAGAATGAAATGCGAGGGTGCTCCACGCAGTAAACGCCGTCGCAAAACTACTACTCCTGTGGTAGTTTCTGAGTCGTTAGGGAACGACGGGCAGGGTGAACCCCACTCGCCCGGAGAGGCCCATGACGTCGACTGCGGAGGAGCACCTTTGATGATTTCTGAAGAAGTGCGTTCCAGAATCAGGTTTCCACCTGCGAGCGAGAAGGTGGTGTGGTGTAAGTTGGAGGCTACATTATGTGAGGTACTTAAACAAACTCTAAACAAGAAGTCGCTAGGCGACAAGCTTACTAAATTTGGTGATGTAATATATGAACACTGCTCCCGCGAGTTCGGGACAGTAGTAAAGGCACAGCCGGGTGCCAAGCAGAATACTAGCAGGAGGCAGAGGGACATTCTGAAGTGTCGGGCAGACAAGAATGCCCTCAGAAAACGGTTCAAAGCCGCTACGGGCAGCGAACGGGAGGGGCTGTACGAAGTGTGGGTGCATTTAAAGAACAAACACAGTGCCCTCTGTCGCGCCGAGCGTTTCTGTAACAACAGACGGAGAACCAAAAGGGAGCGAGAGAAATTCTTTAGGGACCCGTATCAGTTTGCCCGAGGTCTATTCGAGCAACCGAAGTCTGGGACTCTGGTTGTCAGTCAGAAAGAACTTGAGCTACATCTAAGCAAGATGTACTCTGATAAGAAGAGGAGAGAGCCTCTTGATGACAATCCAGAGATCCTTAGCGGACTCAAACAGCCTTCGGTGCCGAAGGTACCATTTAAAATGGTACCTCCCCTTTGGTCTGAGGTTGAGGACGTTGTGAAAAAAGCCAGCGGCAAGTCTGCCCCAGGTCCGAACGGTGTTCCGTACGTTCTTTACAAGCGTTGCCCGAAAATCCTAAAAATGCTTCACGTCTTGTTGAGACAAGCGTGGATCCGCAATCACATATGTCCAGAGTGGTCAAAGGCAAATGGGGTCTACATTCCCAAAGAGCAGGACTCGAAGAGTCTTTCCCAATTCAGGCCCATCTCGCTGTTGAATGTTGAGGGTAAGATATTCTTCTCAGTCATGGCTCGCCGGCTCACACAGTATCTGATGACTAACAAGTACATAGATACGAGTGTTCAGAAGGGTGGTATTCCAGGCGTTCCTGGGTGCCTTGAACACGCGACCATGATTTGGGAGGCTATCCAGAGAGCCAAGCATGAGAGAACCAATTTGCACGTTATATGGTTGGACTTAGCCAACGCCTACGGGGCAGTCCCCCATAGGCTACTGTGGCGAGCCCTTCGCATGTTTCACGTACCGACACAGATCAGTCAAATGGTCGAGCAATATTTCTCTAAGTTCGCTTTGCGCTTCTCTACCTCGACGTTTACCACGAGGTGGACTGAGTTGCAGATTGGGATAGCTATGGGGTGTACGATCTCACCCATACTGTTTGTCATGGCAATGCAGATCATGTTAGACGGGGCGGCCGGCTACGGACTGGGCCTTCAAATAGGGGATCACTGGTTGCCGCCACTGCGCGCATTTATGGATGACACGACTATTATAACGGGCAGCGAGGAGTCTGCCCGCACGATCCTGAATAGATTGGACGCGGTGGTCCAATGGAGCGGTATGCAGTTCAAACCGCAGAAGTCGAGGAGTCTGTCAATCCATAAGGGCAAGGTTTCGGCGACCAGTTTTACGGTGGCAAGGAACAAGATCCCTACGGTTCTGGAGGAACCGGTGAAGAGTCTCGGTCGCGTCTACGATTCGAAGTTATCTGACAGAGCGGAAGTCCGGCGAATACATGAGTCACTGGCTACAGGCCTGCTCGCGATCGAGCGATGCAGGCTGATCGGAAAATTCAAGGTATGGTGTCTCCAATTCATGTTGATTCCGAAGCTTCTATGGCCACTGCTAGTCTACGAGGTGACGATGACTGCAGTTGAAGCCATGGAAAAGAAAATCAATACAGCCTTAAGAAAGTGGATTGGAGCACCGCCTTGTCTGACCGACGTGGCTCTGTATTGCAAACAGGCTAAGCTGGTACTTCCGTTCAAGTCGATAACCGAAGAGTTTAAAGTCGGCAAAGTTAGGCTCGCCATGCTTTTGCGCGAGTCCTCAGACCCAAATGTCATCGCTGTCCAGCCCGCTCTAAAGACTGGTCAGAAGTGGAGAGTCCTCGATGCAATTGAATCTGCTCAGAACGCACTAAAATTGAAGGAGGTAATGGGTTACACACAAACCGACCGTCGAGGCCTAGGGCACGGGAAGGTCAATTGGTGGTCAAAGGCCTCAGCCAAAGAGCGCCGAGACATGGTGATACAAACGGTGAGGGACAACGAAAACGAGGTTCGGGTCCAGAAAGCAGCCCAACAGTCGCAGCAGGGCCATTGGGTCAGCCTGGAGAGCGCATTGCCGAGAATACTCACATGGGGTGAGATCTGGCGGATGACCCCGCTGCGACTGAGCTTTATCGTTCGTTCGGCGTACGATGTATTACCGTCCGGTGTTAACATGGTTAAATGGTCTGCGACCAACGATCCGACTTGCCCGTTGTGCAAATCAAAGCAAACTCTTGAGCACGTCCTGTCCGCGTGCAGGAAAGCTCTAGGTCAAGGCCGCTATACCTGGCGCCACAACAAGGTGCTAAAGGAGTTAGCAGCCGTTGTCGACCAGGCTAGAATGAGGGCTAACGCCAGAGCCAGTTCTAGTATCGCCCCCATTCGTTTCCTCAAGGCTGGGCAGGTTCCAATCGGTAAGGTCAACAAAAACGCATTCGCTCCATCTGTACTAGACTCTGCGAGGGACTGGTTACTGGCGGTTGATCTGCCAGGACATGAACGGTATCCCGAGTTGATCCGTAAAACCGGCCTGCGACCGGACATCGTTCTCCATTCTGCGCAAAAACGGCAACTCATCCTGATTGAGTTGACGGTCCCGTTTGAGTCGCGGATGGAGGAGAATCATTTGTATAAGCTCGAGAAATACAGTGATTTAGCAGCCGGTTTGAGGAGAAACGAGGCTTACACAGTGCGGGTATTTGCCGTCGAAGTGGGAGCGAGAGGCCTCGTTTCCACTTCGCTCTACAATGTGGTTAAAGAATTAGGATTGCGCGGTAATGAACGGAAACGAACACTCAAAAAACTTGGTGAGGTGGCCGAAAGGGCATCCAGCTGGTTGTGGACGCAACGCAACAACGTAGGGGACGGGCCTCGGTGAGCTGGTCCGGGTATCTAGTGGAAAAGAGTTTCTTATCCCTTTGAAAAGTCCATCGTGTACGAATTGTCTGCCAGTGTCTCTCTGCCAACTGCTAATAAAAGTCCAAGATGTGTCCGGTAAACCAAAGTAAGCTTGTCGCTCGGTCGTCCAGGCATGCGGACTGTTCTAATTACGCAGCCGTGGCGGCTTCTTATCTCACAGTACCTCCTTCGAAACCACCAAGTCGTCTTGTCTCTGGCCGAAAGTATAACAACACCAATCCGGCGGGGAATTCTGTGCGGCGGGGAAGCAGCCAACCGCGTTCAGACATTTGACCATACTGCTTTCTTAGCGCATTATAGCGTAAACACTGATGTCAAAGTGAACGCAATAAGCTTTAAAATCGCCTGAAGCTGATTTCGAACCCAGGTTATGGCGGTATTGTGAAATTGTATTACATTATCTCCTGGTTCGATAATCTGTTCCGTTAATTTCCTTTTTTATTTAAAGACATCTTTATTTTTGTTTGTATCTCTCCATGGTTTTCACAATATTTTTCTTTTTAAGGTGCCACACACTGTTTCACTATATCTATTGACGGTCAATGATTCACTTAGGTGCTAGAACATGTGGGAGGGGGGGGGGGGATCATTTTTTGTGTGTGTCTGTAGAATACTTGATTAACGGTAATTTCTTAGACTAGCTGGGCTATCTTGTCTTGTCCGTTGAGTTTTCCAGTCACAGTTTGTGTTATATTTAGTACTCCGTTGATAAAGACTTTGGTCGAAATGTTCGGTTGTGTTTGTGTCCCTCTTTTCCATTATCTCCATTGAGCTTTCTAGTCACATTTTGTGTTACATTTAGCATTTCTTGCTTTACGAAATAGCCGGGTAGATATTATGACCACATTCTATAACTGTAGATTCATGTGGATTTTGAGGTTTTTGAACAATGGATCATCATCATGGCACACAGGTAGTAAACCCATAAGTGTTCCGTTTTTCTTCTAACTCAAGTCTGAGTCCACAGTACACAGGCTCTGTAGCACCGGCGAGGATCCTGAAATACGTGTTATATTTTTAACTTCAAATTTTGCCGTTAGGCTACTCTTTTCGATCCCCAAATGTCAAGGGATTTTTTTTACGTGTGCAACAATGCACACGAGCGTCCAAACTCACTACCCAGAGACCAGGGGGAATTACTAAAAGTCCAAGTCCACGTACAAATTCCCAGCCCTTACCAGAGATTGAACCCGGCAACTCTAGCACTCGAGGCGGACATCATGCCTCGAGACCACGCAGGCCCCTTCATGTGGATGTTGTAAGTGGGTAATATCACCTTGACTGACTATTTGAAAAGAAGCCTTGCTTTTGATTTTGGTAGTTGGGAGAGCCTCCTTATAGTCCATGCCGTGTGGTGCTGGTAGTCATGTCTATCCACAATCTTCTGTCTCGTTTACTTTCAGTTAAATCTGACACAGATCATCTACCACGCCATAGTGTCAAACTGTCCAGCCGTTTCTCTCTCAATCTCCCCATGCCTCTCTTCCACTTCAATTCTTCCTGTCGTGATGTACTCCAGTTTTCTCCTTTTCATGTCATGACCAAAGAATGCAGACTGCCTGCTTCTGATGTGGGCAATCAGTTCTCTCCATGAGTCACAGTATCTTTCAGGACATCTTCATTACTACTTTTTTTAATATCTTTCCAGAGTATTCTCATCATTCATCTATAAAATCATAAATCCACAGCTTCTAAATAATTTTCCATAATCGACCAACTGTCCGTGATTCACTTTCTTACATCAGAATAGAAAATTTATATAGCTTTTAAGAATTATGAAGTAGTAGTACATTTTACCCCCACCAGGACATCACACAAACGATAAAAACCCGATGACCCAAAGTGCCACCATGTGGATGAGGATCACCCGTGGAGAGGTCCACGGAAACCGCGTTCAGCCATTGGGACATATTTATGGCCGGGCTATATTGCGGCCCCTGTCAAGAGCCGTGGTGGGGCTTCAAAATAACGAAAAACTGCATCCCACAAAGGAATGAATAGGAATAAGAAGTCGAAGAATTATGTTTCTCGTCTCAGTTGACAAAGGAAGATTGCATAGAACATTTTTTCATGTGTAAAATGCTGCCTTTAGAGAGCCTAAAGCGTTTAATTTTCATATTATCTGTTGTGCCATCCGTTCAAAGGCGTCAAAATCTCTGGGCTGTTCCCCCTCCCCCTGCTTCCCCCCCCCCCCTATTCAACGCATAATAAAAATGATAACAGTAGTAATCAATGATTACGAGCACCATTCGATGTTTGCGTATTAATGTTTTAGGTATATTTTTTACTTGACAGGGTTGTAGCCATTGATATGAGAGGTTACGGAGAGTCCAGCAAACCTTCGGGAATTGAGAACTACACCGTTACCAAACTGGTGTCTGACCTTCAGCAGATTATTCCTGCATTGGGTATGTGCGTTTTAAAAAGTAAAAGTGAAGATCTATTACCACGCCTTTTAGGCATATCGGGTGTGAGGGAAGAGCACCCATATTTTTTACAGACCATCGGCAATAGGTGGGTAATGTGGTCAGCATTACGTCGGCCATGTTTACTTCCCCAGGACATCCATCCTGGTACCCCATGACATGATAAAAATCCACGCAGCCAGCAGTGGGTTTCGATCACGTTACGTTGGAATTACGAGTTGGACTCGCAACGGCTAGGCCATGGACGCCACATGTGCATTTTGGCAAGTTTTAATTGTTATTGCTCTTGTTTCTTATGGGAGTCGCCATGGCAGAGCGGCTAGACGCGCGCCGCGGATCGGAAGGTCGTGGGTTCGCTCCCTGGCAGAGCCGGACTTTTCTTAAAAAATGACCTTGGCTCCAAGGTCGACCCAGCCTTGAGTGGGTACCGGGTGCAGTCCCGGGCAGTAAAGGCGGCCGGCGTGATGCTGATCTCCCATCTTGTGCCGATGGTCTATAAAAATATAGGTCTAGCCCTATATGCCCTATACGCCTAAAGGCGTGGAGAGGGTCCTTGACTTTGTTTGTTTTTTCTTGTTTCTTATAAATTGTGAAAAGAATGAAGAATGAGTTGATGCAAGCAGACAATTTGTTCATTCGACTTCGGATTGACCAAGGAGCTAGGAAAGCAATTCCGCTAAACATAAATCGGAGCTGTGCTGCAAACATGCTCAAAGCAATTACATTATAATTTTAAAAAATGAAGAACTGGGTAGCATGTGTTATGAGTTAGATTAGCTTCACAGCACTCCGGACACACCCATAGGCGCACAGATTCCCCTCTCAACATATTCATCAGCGTCGCACGGTTAATAGTGCAAGTAATGTGTTGGTTAACAAGACTTCATGTGCGTCCGGCGTGCTTCTCGAGCTTGGCTGTGCCGATCTTTACTTCCAATTCGCGTATTCTTAGCAGTGATGTGCACACGTTGCTTTCAAAGTCCTCAGAACGTTCTATCTCTCTAAGGGCACTGACAATGTCTGCGTGATCCATGGGCCGGCCGTCTTTAATTAATGCAGCACCTGCTATTCTATCTGATCTCTCATACCAACAACGCCTGCATGCCCTGGGACGAATATAAAGGTAACTGCACACACAGTAGAGTTTTGCAATGACTCAAACTATTCTGCGTAACCAGTCTGCCTCCACCCGCCGGATCATGCTCAAAGAATCACTGAGTAGCATGATGATGCCGATAATGGTTTTTGTAATTGTGTTGGTGGTTATGTTTTTTGTGAGGCTACATTACATTCAGAGTACCTGGCAGAAGCCAAGGTGGGGCTACACAATAATTTGCAATGACTGTTTTCATCACTTTTGCTAACTTTAAGATCTCAAATAAATACAACACCAGGCATTACCACATTAAAACTATTTTTATTTGATTATATCAACGCTCGAGAGCCGAAGCAGCTATGTGGCTATATGCTTGCCCTCCTGGCTAAAGATCAGGATTCGAATCCACTGCGAGTCGAATTTTTGTTTAATGAACTTGGTTCCCATTTCAAAGCAGCATACAGTAGGCGCCTGTCCAAGTCCTTAGGAGTAAAGGTGATGTTTACCGTAGATAAGATTACGGCCTTGTCGTGTGATATTCACACAAATTGCAGTGACTAAACTGTAGCCAATCTTCATTGTTGGGACAAAATGCAATTTTTTTGGGTTTAAGCTGTCTCCCCTTCTATGACTGAAGTCTTAAGAGTAACATCTCAAGGATGGATCAAACAGCTGCGAATACAAATCCAGGAAACCCGGATCAGCCGTTTACCTTATAGCTCAGTTGAAAAAGGTAGTTAGGTAAGTTGTAACCCACCAGGACATCACACAAGCGATAAATACCCGGTGAAACAAAGTGCCACCATCACGATGAGGATCACCCATGGAGAGGTCCCAGAAACCCCGTTTTGGCCATATCTATGTCCCGGCTATATTCAAGGCCCCTGGCAGAAGCCATGGTGGGGCTTCAAACAAATAATTTCATCCCACATGGGGAGGACTTTCGCCTGGAATTAGGTTGAATTAGGGCATTAAAAAAAATATTAACGGAGTAACCTGTAGTACAGTGTGGGTGATTTATCTCTTTGAAATGGGTTTAATAAACATCTAAAACATAAAACGAATGGCCGCCGGACATGGAGAGCTATGCCCTATGCGCCGCCCTAGGCTCAAGAGGAAAAACTAACTAATTTATTGAAATGCCGTTAGTATAAGACATGGATTCAACATATTTGCGAGGGGAGGCAATTCATTATAACAAAATGTTCATAAAACTGATGCATTATCACCTGTGATAGTAAGTAAAGTGAAGGACACCACTTTATACGCCAGTGGTGCGTTATTGGCTCGTTATTTTTGTGTAGCTTCATCCTTATTTTCATCTATGAATCATCAGTGAATGGGTAGTGTGCTCGCCATCATAATGGCCACCTACACCTCTCAGGAAATTTTACGGTACAATTTTTAGGCTGGGTCGACCCGGGACCAGATCAAATGATAAGACATCCGCAAATTAAAAATTCATAAATACTTTAATGAGTCAGCATCGCTTATGTGTGTGTGTGTGTTTGTGTGTGGATATATGTATGTGTGTATATATATATATATATATATATATATATATATATATATATATATACACACACACATGAAATACAAAACACACACACAATTCTAAACATATAGTTCACAATCAGACACTAATGTGCGTGCATAAACATGTACACTGGCACGTATACATACACCCGCAAGTATCGACTTCATTGCACGAGGTTTTATCACATATGGCCTAGTCTCTTTCTGCAAAACAGCTAGCTGTCTACGAAGAGTGTAGCACAGAGCACGACCTCTGAGGCTCCATCGACGATCCCCGGGAATCTCCGTAAAAATTGTACCCGTGAACTGGACGACACCGCCGTGAAACGAACCATCGACCTTCGGTTCGCGAGGCAAACGGCTTGACCACTTCACCACGGAGACCCCCGTACATACCTAAAAAGAAGCGGCTAAAGTAACAATTGTTTGGAATTGGAAGAGTTAAAATAAATTCTTTTTTCCCGACGCTTAGCTCTTATCCTACCTACAATACTGTTCTCCATTATCCTTATTTCATTTTTGAATGTTTCCCTCTGTGCAACACACAGCATTGCATCTTATTCCCATGAATTCACGTCAATACCTGTATCATTCAAGTTGCGTTTTCACACATCTTTGTGACACAGTAGATGCAGGTGTGATTTTATACTGCCGCATGCATGTATGCATGTTGTGTGTTGTTCGTCTATCATGAAGACCACTTTTCATCCAAAGTAGCAACTATCAATGATTATGAGTGCGACGGTGGCTGATTGGACCAACATGAAACAGGATTTCTGTATTTATGTTTTGCAGGCTACAAGAGCTGTGTGCTGGTGGCTCACGACTGGGGCGGTGCAGTGGCGTGGGCTTTTGCTCGGTTTAACCCTACCCTGGTGGACAAGTTGATCGTCATGAATGTCCCACCGTCGCCTGTGTTCTCCAAAGTGCTTCCAACCAACAAGTATCAGCAAAAGAAATCCTGGTAATGCGCACCCACGCACACGCAGACACGAGGACGAGGGCACACACACACACACACACACAATAAGATTGAATCGCACATACAATCACACATACACACAATCACACACACAGTCGTACACACAAAACCACAAAAAGCACGCACTCACAGTCATACATAATCACACACATACAGACACCAATCACTCAGTACAATTTGTATAGAGAATTTCCATACAAGATTGTTTGCAATTTAAGCAAAATATTCAAAATTTTAAAACTGTAAATGGTGGTCCAAAGGACGTTGTGTGGAAAAACTCGCTCTCCTACCAGATACGCCTGGCCAAATCAGAAAGAGATGACACCAAGAGGAAACACAAGATAAGAAAAGGAAAGAAACGCACAGCTTACAACAGGGCGGAGGACGAGCGGTCTGACTCGGAAGGAAGCATTCAGCCCAGAAATGGTACAATACTAGAATTTAGTCACGAAAGTGACGCAAAAAACCCAGACCACAAGTATAGGCGGAGACTGTTAGCAGCCTGGGCTAGCTAGCAGCAGTTTGAAAGTGGTAGACCTTTGCAATTTTTTTTTTTCTTAAAAGGACTAGGACTCGACAACTTAAAAAAATTTTTAAATCAATACGGCGAGGCAAGGGGATGTTCATTTTTTGGCCAGCATTTAAATGGGTTCAGTTTCGGATATCCTAGAGTGGAAGTTGTGTTAAACTAGTCTGAATGTGATAGTCTAGTTCCAGTGTGACCTTTTTTGAAAACACTGTGACTGGTCTAGCAAACCGACAGTCGTTTATTTGGTGTTGGTGCCTGAAGAAAATGCCGTGATGCATTCCAGGTTTAGAGGGAAGGAGAGACTGATAACAAAAGTACAACCGTCAAAATGCCCAGGTTCCTAGGTTCCAGCGATCTGCGTCTTACCTACTTACTACATGTCTGTTGGTCAACGTCTTGTTTAGCCTTTGACAATGCTCATTGGGTGTACCTATGTCTCCCCCCCCCCCCCCCCCGTCCAAGTTTGTTATTTGTGTGTCTTATTCTTCTAACTATAATCCATGTTATGTGGAAATGATCATTATATGTGTCTGCAGCGTCTGTCTTACGTACTGTCAATCATGCTGACACCGATTTTCTTTCACGCTATGTTGCCAAACTTTCTAACATCTTATGGTTTTTAGTCTTTTTATTTTTTTTTAAGCTCCACCCTGGCTTTTGCCGGGGGCCCTGAATATAGCCGGGCCATAAATATGACCTAGCCATAAATATGGCCTTAACGGCTGAAAGGGGTTTCTGTGACCTCTTCACGGGTGATCCTCATTCACATGGTAACACTTTGTGTCACCGGGTGTTTATCGCTTGTGTGATGTCCTGGTGGGGTACAAATACCTACTTACCCATGGTTTCCCCAAATGTTTTTGTTTTCCCTTTCACTTCAAATTTGTTATTACAGCTTACTCAAGCGTCCCTCTATTTCATGACATGATCAGAAAATGTAGATTGCACTTTAAGAAATATTAAATATAAAACAAGGTGTGACTGAGAAGCTCAACAGAGGAAATGAAAATGATTTGCCCAAATACAACCAAACATTTCGACCAAAGTCTTTATCAGCGAATGTAAATGCAATACAAACTGTGACTGCATAGTCAACGGACAAGAGAACGAAGCTTATAGATGGACACGGTCAACCAGAAATATGTAATATGGACATGATGGACTTTATTATGGAACAAAACAAAGTAATAAGTCTTATGAAAAATGTAGAAGATCAATTAAGGATTGGTTAAAACAGTTACATGCTTCTCAACAGGATGAACATTTAGTATTGTTATGTTTAAATGTAGTTAAACTTTTTTTTTTTTTTTTTTGCAGGTATATGTTCTTCTTTCAACTTCCTTTTCTACCTGAGCTGAACTTCAAACTGGATGACTTTTCCCTGTTTGACGAGTTGTTTGTCTCTGAGAGAAATTCAGACATTTCCAAAGACGCAAAGAAAGCTGCAGAGAATATTGTTCCTTACAAATATGTCTTCTCGCAACCAGGTGAGACAATACATTTCTATTTTAATTTTATGGGTTAGATGGGGGGAACGGTTAGTTAATCCCTTATATTCATTATAAATTAACCAAACCTTGAAAGCTAAACACTAACCATTGTTTGAGGTAAGGAAATGAAAGCGAGTGGTCCTAAGGAGCAGGACAATGAACGGGACTTTGCTGTTGCAATTTAAACTCATTTGAAATCATCAACGCACCCTAAAAAAAAAAAAATACTTACATATGAAATTAAGTGTGTGAAGCTGTGCTTGGGATTTCCTTTAGAGACAATGTTCACAATATATGCATCAGAAATGTAAATATGAAAGGAATGAAATCATTCTTCGAATTCACCAAGAGGCCACAAGTAAAAGTAGTGGTGATATTAGAATTAAACCTGGTCAATCACCAAATATAGCGTATAGTACAGCAAAAGTATGTATGGATATAGAATCAGAAAAATGCTGAGACAATTATGGATAGATAACCCCAAGGATACACTAAGCAAATACGGCAACGACGTAACCGAGGCAACATACGTGGCTTTGGACACACCTCTAGTCACCGCACAGCTCTACATATAATAGCTTGTCTGGACTAGTAAAAGACATGCCATCAACCTGGGATAATTAGCAATCATACAAAATAATTGTTCGGCCACTCGAGTGTTTGTACCAGGTCTGAAAGTATTCCTGGTCTGGGGGTGTTCCGGATCTGAAAGCTGCAGGTCAATCACCCATGTATAAACAATTCTCACACAGGAAGGAAAGAATCGTAATACTGTCAATTAGTTGGTTAGTTGGTTGATGCCATAACATACAGGATCAAATGACACAGGTTATGAAGAGATTATGGGACAACATTGACTAGGAGTGATAAATGAAAATGGAAAATTAGTCACAAATTTTCTGTGCAGGAAACCGGTATGTTATTGGTGGAAGCATTTTCCCACATAAAAGGCAATATAAGCAATATAAGGCAACACGGCAATCACCATACCATAAGAAAACCAATCAAATAGATCACATATGTATTTAAAAATATTTAAATCATCCCTTTATGATTTGAGGGCTTTTCTGTTGGTAAGTAAAATCAAGTTGAAACGTAAAATATATTTAACATCTTATATTCATAGAAACCAGTATAATAGTAGGTTATCCCAGGAATAAAGCAGTTAAAAGGAACAATTTACAGTTACAGTCTCTAATAAGTACTAGGTGTTGGCAGCAGTTAGCTTAAGATGTAAGCACTGAAATATGCTGGGATCAGATCGAGAGAATTTGGAATGAATCTTGTATAGAAGTCCTTGGTAAGAAAGAACAGAAATATAAAGAAAGTGTGGATAACGCCAGAAACCATTAAAATGGTCAAAAAAGGGAAAAGTAAAAAAAAGGCAGATTTAAACAATATCAAAACTAGAGATTAGGAAAAATACACGGGCTAATAATGAAGTTAGGAGGCGAGAAGGGGCGGATAAAAGGAAATATTTAGATAACCTAGCACAAGAAGCGGAGACGGCAGCAGCAAAAAGAAATCTCAGAGACCTTAACAGTAACACAAGGTAGTTAGTCGGTAAGTACAGTCAGCCAACTAGATCAATCAAAAATAGTCAAGAAAAAGTACTCATTAACATTAAAGATCAAATTGACACATGGGTAAATATTTTGAAATATTTCTTAATAGACCAGCCCCTGAGGTTTCTCTAGTTATCCAGCCTTTAAAAATGGAACAGGATATTAACTGTGAGATACCATCTAAAGAGGAAATTAGGAAAGCTATCAATTTCTGAAGGAAGGAAAAAACAGCAGCAGGCCCAGATGGTATCCCAGCAGAAGTTTTTAAGGTCAGTATAAATAGACATCAACGGAATTGATACATAGATTATTTAGTAACGTCTGAGAGACCGAAGAAATACCAGCAGACTGGAGCGAAGGATATCTTGTGAAACTGCGCAAAAAAGGTGATCTACAGGAGTATGAAAACTATAGAGGAATTAGGATAGCCACATTACGTATAATACTAAAGCAAAGCATTGAACTGAATTCACCTCTTTAAATTGGATTCACTGACTATGAAAAAGCTTTTGACAGCATTGATAGGGCATCTCTCTGTAAATTATTGGGGCACTATGGAATACCACAGAAAATTACTAACTTGGCAAACGTTACATATAAAGACAGGAAATGACGAGTTCTTCATGAGGTAAAGCTAACAGATACATTTGAAATAAAAACAGGTGTGCGACACGGATGTCTTTTGTCGCCTTTCCTATTTTTACTGGCAGTGGATTGGATTATGAAGACAGCAACTGCTGACATCAGGAATAGGATTTAGTGGACCCCTACAAAACAGCTTGATGATCTGGACTTCGTTGATATATCTCTTCTGTCCCACTCACGGAATCAAATGCAAGATAAATTTAATATACTTTGTATGAGATCACAACGGCTTGTCTGAAAATCCATAAGGGAAAAGACAAAGATAATGACAGTAATTCAGACAAATAGTAATGTGGTTTAACCTAATGGTATCCCACTTCTCCGTGTAGGTTCCGGGGCCCTATTGTGGGGGAGGGGGGGGGGGACAAGAATAGACCCACTGCATGACCAAAAGCATGTCGAAAGAGTCGACTAATTGGTAGCTTCCTTCGAATGGTAAGACCTAATCACTAATGTAGGTGAAGAAAAGACTGCGTTGGATAGGACACACGTTGAGAAAACCCAAGAACAATATAACTAGAATGTCTTTGCACTGGAACCCACAACAGCATAGAAATAAATGAAGACCCCCCAAACAAAACAAAAAAACCACACACACACATATGGAGAAGGGAGCTAGAGAGTGAAGTTAAAAAAAATTGGGGAGGACATGGGGAGAGCTGCATGCGATAGCGAAGGATAGAACGACTTTGCGTGAGTTGGTTGATGGCCAATGCTTCATTTAGGGGTTAGAAGGCAGAAGAAGAATGTGTTTCTTGGCGGTCATATTTGTGTTTGGATGTTTTAATAACGGACTCAGTTGGTATATCAGTTGCAGTTTTTTTTTTTTTATTAAGGTTAAAATAAACTATAACAAATATTGTTTTCTTCCTAGGAGCCCTAACCCCGCCTATCAATTACTACCGAGCACTGTTTAGAACTACCCGGGGAACCTATGACTTGGACTACCAAATGCCCGTACTTCTTATCTGGGGATGTAAAGATACGGCTTTGGACATTGCTCTTCCTGACGCTGTGGAGAAAGAGACAACTAAAATTGAAGTGAAGAGGATTCCTGATGCTAGCCACTTTGTGCAAGTGGATGCCCCCGAGGAGGTCAACAAGCTGATGAGAGAGTGGCTAAATAAACAGAAAAAATAGCTAAACTATGGTGACATTTTGGTTGTGCAGGCGTGTGGTAAATATTTTTCAGCTCGAAAATATTCAGATGGCATTTTATGTGTATTATACACTTGTTATGTCCATCCCTTAGTTAACTAAATAGCTCACCCCCAATCCTCCTCTTCCAACTAAATAGCTAACCCCCATCCTCCTTCTCTCTCTCTCTCTCTCTCTCTCTCTCTCTCTCTCTCTCTCTCTCTCTCTCTCTCTCTCTCTCTCTCTCTCTCTACGTGGAATCTAAAGAGGCAACATTCATCTATGATCTAGCAACTTTTCATCGCCTCTCGGTAAGCAGACAACAAACAAGCCGCCATTTTGTTGACCCAGTAGGAGGTGCATTGTTACGAAATCAGCGCGGAGCAAAAGGCTAACATTAAATTCTTTTTAAAACTCAGAAAAAGCACGATTAAAACAGTAGAAATAATGCAACAAGTTTATGGGGATAATTGTTAAGCTCGTGCACAAACTATCAGGTGGTATTAATGATTCAAAAGTGGTGTGGAAATGATTACTTGGATTCCAAATTTTTGTTCGCAATGATGAACTTACTGCAAAATTTAGAGAACACATACAAAAAGATCATTGTTTTACTGTGAGGATTATGGCAGATGAATTTGGTGTTAATAGAGAGACCATTCATAACATTTTAGTGCAAGATTTTAGCCCCCAAGAAAGTTGCTTGCCGGTTTGTACCATATTCGTTGTCTGATGACCAAAAATATCAGCGGGTTGAGTACCCAAGAGAAATCATCAAAACAAGAGGGGGTCTGTTTCGATCTCCCAACTCTAAGAAGGAAGTAAAATGAGGTTCAGGGGTTCGGATCCTGTCTTAAACTTTATAGGGGTGGCTCTGTAGCGAACAGGTTTAGCCGTTTGCCTCGCACTTTTAATGTTGCGGGATCGCTACACTGCTGCACCATTCAGTTCACGAGTGCAGTTTTCACGGTGATCCCTAGGGATCGTCGCCGGATCTACAGAGTTCTTGCTCTGTCCGAATCTATCAGCAAACAGCTTGCCGTTCTGAGGAGAGAGACCGAACCATATCGGATAACACCCGGTGCATTGAAGTCGATCCTCTTGACTTTACCTTTAACACAGATGGGAGTCAGAAAGAAATATATATCAAGTCCCTGGTGAGACTTCTGGTTCTACCGTAACTGTCAGGGGGCCTCATTGTAACTATACAGTTGAACAGGGCCTATTAGGATTAGTACAAGCAGGATTCTCATCCTTAAGGTGTTAATCCTGCGGACTGCAATTCTGGAGGAGACAACCTGCAGGAATAGTAACCAGCATAATACAAACCATATGGAGGTTAGGCACGTTTACTGTTTTTAGCTATGACAAATTTCGCTTCTGACAGATAGTGGCCGTTGCATTTTCCTCCATTTGTGGACTGAAAGGATATAGTTTTTTCACCCAGTTATTGAGTTAGGTGCATGGTGCGACATCGTGAGCTGCAGATTTCATTTGGAATTTTTATCAGCTGTGACCAGCGTGGTGTTGGGAACTGTAGATTCAGAAAAGGAGAGTTGTTTTGCCACAGAATAAGTAGCACCTTATGTGATTAAAATTAATAGCATGTGCAACTGCTGATCATTTCGTAACTGCCACTTCCGTCGATGATGAACTGCATTTCTAATGTAGGACTGTTCGTGTTAGCACTTCTGATAGTTGTCTTATGCTTTTAATGCGCGTATATGCTAGTGGTAATGCCGAGACAGCAGTCTGTGTCCTTTTTTCCACAAGGGACAGTGATGGACATTCTGTACTTTTTTTTTTTTAGTTGGCATAGGAGCGGAGCAACTATGGGGTGACCCGTTTGCTGTGAAGTTTTTAATACAGTTACCAAGATATATCTCATGTGCTCTTCAGTTGTTGATAAAATGGCCCTAATGCCATGCTCCTAGTAATTTGTACTGGTATGTTCATTTTACTTATTATATATTTTTATTGTGCATTAGACATACAGTAATGATGAAAACTGTATTGTATATCTAATGTATGAGTTAACCTTCACCATTAATTTGAAGAAAAAAAATGTATGTGTTAACTTTCACAATTACTTAAAAACAACATTTTAAATAATCTCATTTCCACAAAATAATTCATTATTTAGAAGTAGTACATGCTGTGTAACTGAAATTATGTGAGAAAAATAAAAACAAACTTGAACAATCAGTTTATTTCTTCAATTGTGTATTACTCTGTGGTTAATTCAGGCTTTAAGTATTTTATCTTCTTTAATGATCCTTTTGTCAGAAACACTATACCATGAGGCCAGCAGCCTTAGTGAAAGTTACCTGGCAGTCCAGATCTCCTCCTGTGCCGTAAAACTTTGTAATGATTGTGCTGGGGAAATTCCAGGCTGCTTCTCTGTTAGCATCATGCAATTAAGTGTTGGGGTACATGCTCAGTATTTTCAAACGAATATTGCTTTATTAACTAAAACTTGTATATTTATCAAGGAATTACTGTGGCATATTGATTGTGTATTTGTGTAACAAGACTGCAAAAGGACTCTTTCCCACGCCTTCATGCATACTGGGCTAGACCTATATTTAAAGACCAATCGGCACTCGGTGGGTGATGAGGTCAGCATAATGCCAGCCGCCTTTACTTCCCAGGACTGTACCCTTTTAAGGCTGAGTCGACCTGAAAGCCAAGGTCGATCGCCTAGCCGTGGAAGCTCCATCTAGCAAGACAGTGGTTTGGGTTTAACCCCATAGAGGCAGGACCAATTTTTCGTCCCATAAAAAGCTGTAAGTTTGTAAAGTGGCATCAGCGGCCTAGGCATAATTTCATTGTGCCGGGTTCGTTCCGGATGATTTGGCGGAAGACTGCCTTGTCTTGATTTTTCAACAGTGGCACAGAGAGGTCGGCATTTCAGGGCAGATGATCAGGACAGCAATGGCAAACTACTAAACTTAAAATTGAAATACAAACAGCGAAACAAAAATGATGGGGCTGGTTCTGCAACTTTCTGTAAATTATACGCAACTAACATTTCTTCAATGTGTAAGGACCATTTTCCCCGTCTGTGGCACATCAGGCACATAGCGTTAGACACATACTTTATATATATATATATCTATATATATATATATATATATATATATATATATATATATATATATATATATATATATATATATATATATATATATATATAGACCAATCGGCACTCGGTGGGAGATGATGTCACCCAGCCGACTTTACCTCTTAGGCATTACCTGGTGCCAATTTCAGGCTGAGGTTATCTGGGAGATCGTCATCTGTAGCTTAGGGTTTGCAAGCGCACTTCGTAATTTCGTGATGCCAGGTTCGATCCCAGTTGTGGGCGAAAGTGGTATCCAAGGGTGACAATGCAGGTAGCATTGGCAAACTATTAAATGCAAAATTTAGTAGTGTAATCACCAACCACTAAAATATGCTGGGGTTGGTTCTGCAGCGCTTTGTAAAGGACAAGCAACTAACTTACCCGGAAGCCCTAGGTTTTATAAATTATGTCCTGAATTGGATTCAAACCCAAGATATTTGGACCAGTAAGCAAGCATCCAGCCACTGAACTACCGTGGCGCCCTACAAAGAAGTTTACTCAAAATAATGAATGCAACTCTCTCTCTTGGAAGACGATTCACTTTCTTGTTAAATATGAAATTAATAATTGACATCATAGCACTCAGAAGACTCCCATATGCACTCTGTCCCTATCTACAGTGGCAAACAAAAAGTTCAAATTCCTATAGAACTATAAGTAATTGTATAACCGTCTCGCCTTTCCCTTGAGTGTCGGCCAGATTCGCTGGTGATTCCCCAGCAGCGCCATTCTGCTCAGACTGTAATGATCTATTTGTGCCTTCACATTGTTAATTCCCATCCAAAGGGCGCCCACAACACCTAGTTTGTCATATATTAATTCACCACCAAGTGATGCGGAACCGGCCAGTCTATTTGTCTGTTCGTTTCCCAATACATGAGCATGACCTGGAGAAAATATCCAAAGAATGCTAACTACCCAGGACCTCTGAATTCACTTTCTGTATAACTTCAAGTTCTAGCAAATTCCCCCCCCCCCCCCCCCCCCCTTTTCCCACTCCAATGCTTGCTGGCTATTTTCAATCTTCACATTCAAGAAGAAAAAAAATAACAAAAGTGTGCCCTTTCTGTTTAACAATAAAAACAACTTTTATTTGTTCTGGGTTTTGCCCCCTCCAATAACATCCATCTCTGTCATATGCATGGAATACAAGTCAAACTATAAATGAAAACAGTATACAAACACAGAGCCTTGCCATTTCTCCAAGCTCTATCCCTGAAAATCTTTAGTTACAAAATCTGAATGTAAAATCTAACAGAAAATTGAAGTTAGAAGCGGGCCATGACCACAACAATAACCATCGGAAATGGAATTCTGTGAACTCTGAATATGTAGATTTATGAAGTAGTCTTCACAGTTGATCATTTCACTCATCCAAGATGAAGTTAAACCTCACGATGAGATCACCGTTACTGTACTGACTGGATATTCAAAGCTCAAAGCGAGAACACATGAAAGATTACTGCATATGAGTCTTACTATTGAAAGCTGAAGGTGAGAATATAAATGAGAAGTTTCTGTGCTTAAGCTAAAAATCAAAGTTATATTCAACTTTCAAGGGGAAACAGAGGCAGACTTTTTAACAGGTTGCAACCGGTTCTGATAGCATGTCAACTCTTCACTGGTTGCTGAAGAAGTTGGACGGTGCACTCGTGGGAATTTACTAAGTGCAACGATGTCAATTCTTGACTCATTCATTCGAAGTAGTGCTTTGGACATCTGCAGCAAAGTCTGAGCCCTAAACGAGTTTAAATAATTGGTATTAAAGAAAATAATACTCAAAGAGGAGGAAGAGACCAAATGGAAAAACCAATTATTATAGCCTTAATATTCGCTTGACACTGAATCAAAAGGTATGAAAAACAATGGATTGGACAAA